AGGCACATACATACAGATTATAATCGTTGACGGAAGTTCCTCAGCAAAATATTCCCTAAATGTCCCTCTATAAGTACACGCAGGCCCTCCTTCACTACCCTCACCGTCTTCAGAATATGACGTCATCTGTCACCGTCGTCGAGCTCAGGGAGGCCTACAGTAACTGCTTCAGCCTGAAGCTCTTACATAATTTCTTGGATCGATTCAACGTGGGATAGTTTCCTAGGGACATTAGCTCTAACTATGCAAACCCCCTCGGAACCCGCCCTTCGGAACCCGTCGTAACGGTACACGATCAGTCGAGAACCCCATTGAGCTCGACCAGAGCACCATGTTTCCGGGGCAAACTTTTCTGATGCCGTCCACGTAGATGGCCACTATGAAGATTTTCTTATGAATGAAATGCGCTCTTCAATTCTAAGTTGGGAGCACACGCTTTGAGCTGAGCAAAGTGTGATTAAATCCATTTGAGTCTGGAGACAAAATGTCTTTTTTTATTGCCCCTCCCTGTATATACGGTCCGAAGATGAGCAGATTCTACTTGTTGTTAGTCAAAAGTCACTCTTCTTCGTCTCTGCTCACAAAGACTCATATTTTTTCACATTTTGTTAACAATGCGATAAAATTTTAAAAAGTAGAAATGGAATACTTCATGGTGACTAATGCTCACCTCTCAAAATTTACTGTCCAAAAAGTACCGTTACTTTTATGCTGTCGGCCAATGTTGAAGCAGTAGCGGCAGTTTGCAGGCTGAAATTTTGAAGAATTAGTAATACTGCTATGTGACTATGAGTACTGCTCATCCATTTTCAAGGCAGCTGGCAACACGAGTGGAACCACTTGTTGCCACCTCATCTTGAAGTTATTGTGCGATGAAATCCTTTGATTCACCAGGAAATTGTACGGGTCGAGAGATAATTCCTACAAAACATTTCGCTCAACCTCTTGAAAAGAAAAATAGAGAAACGGAGCATGATTACGATATTTTAACTTGGCTCAGAGGACAAGTTGAAAACAGCGCGTTTTTAGGAATGTCACAAATTGTCTCAAAGCTCTCTCAAAGCTCTCTCATCGACGACCACTTCAAATCCTTCACGCCTATCAGCAACCGCGTTCATTGCCTTCAAAAAGCTGAATTTGTCTTACATAATAAATTATGCCAGTGACGCGCCCTCCATCTTTGTTGCTCATCAATTTCCACTGACGGATGTATGCGGCTTGACTCCATTTTCGCCACAACATAAGCATGAACTCATCGAGTTGAGGGTAAGGAGACCGTCCTGAGCCTTCCTCTAATCGCAACGTAGAGGATGCTGAAATCAAACACGAAGCTTTTTTCGCCAAAACGTCACAATGCAATTGCACCGGAACTTACCCAACTCTCTGGATTTGACTGCTTCCCATTGATCGCTCTCAGCAATTTTCAGCAATGGAAACTGGTGAGCGTTTGCGGGAACACACAAAGAATCGTAGAAAATTTGCTGATCTGACGGTTTTTTGGAACCTGAAAAAGGTTCATACTACACTTTGTCGATATGCGCCCCAACGGTGAAACTCAGTGTCAGCAGCAAGAAATTCAAAAAGGTCAGAGCTCAATATCACAAGTCCTTCGTTTGCCGCGATCGCTACAAATCAAGCACAAACTGGACATAGAAAGAACGAACAAATCTCAAGCCTTCAAATTCCTACAATGATTACGCGGATGATCCTAGATTCGCATATCTCGCCGATAAAGTTGCAGCATCACAGGTGGCTAAAAATTACGTGTCCCTGATATTTCGCTTCGTTTAAAACATCGTATCAGGAATCCTGGTATTTTTGGTGGTATTTTTCTAGATGTTTGTCTATTGCTAGAGAGCGGGTGGGTGGGTGCAGAGAATTAATTTAGATGAGGAATTTCCAAAGAGATGACCAAAGTTTGAACAACGTGGAAAATAGTTCGAAATTCCTCGAAATTATTCAAACAAATAGTCAAAATAGTAAAAACCAAGCATGGAATTGGGGTTATCGTCTGCTAAGCTGACAATTCCCAGTCGTTCGGACAAAGCAGGATCGGAAGGAGAAATGAGAGAAAAGGGTGATTTCTTCACCGTGCGGAGATTTTAGGACGTACTGTGGCTTCACGAATAAAAGTCCACTGTGTAAACGCCTTACGACTCTCATAATCGCCTTCCACGTTTCAGACCAGCTCTTAGGAACATTATCAATTGGAAAATATTTTCAAGTTATGAGTTCCTCGGAAATGTGATGATTTGGAGCTAGATCACTGCTCGGGCGGCTTTCATTGGTTTTTGATAAAAGCGGAGAAAATCAATAGGAAGGATTATCACGATAAGACCCTCAAGGAGGCTGTGCTCCCCTGGGATCAGAATCATAACAATCTAATCTTTTTCCAGGGAATGCTCCGGCCCATGGACCAACACAACGGATGCTTTTCTTTAAGACCGGTATCTGATCCTTTTTTTGGTGATACC